TGTGACCTTCTCATAGAAGGCCTCCAGAGACAATGGCAATAATTGATTTTAAGGGGACAAATGTGACATAAAGGTTTGATACAAATTATTTTTGAAATATCTTGGAAAGCTAAAACATTTAAAACCTGTATCAAAAATGTTATCACTGATACGGGTAAAAACTTGTGCAATGGCTGTGCCTCTTTGAAATCTTTTCATCCCAGCTTTTTTCTCTGAAGAAATATTTTACAATGTACCTAATACTTTTGGATGAAAAGCCTGTTTTCATTTAAAAGCTGTAATGGAAAAAATATTTTTCTTTAATATGGCAAATGTGAAATGGCTTCAGCTAAAACCTTCACAAGTTATGTTTTCAGTGGCATAAATGTTGATGGTTTTGTAAAAGATATATTCAAGAAAATGATAATCCTCTGCCATAAAAATGTTGGTGCACTAAACTGAATCAGTGGTCATACTGATGTACATCAGGGGATTTAATAGCCTTGCTGGGCATAAGAGGTTATGAAACTTCTGAATAATAATAAGCATGTTGGTCAGTAGTCCCAATTTAATTTGTTACAGATCTAATTAGTGGCAAATAAATTTATGCTATATTTGTATGTCAGTTTATTTCTCCTACTGTATTACGTAGAAAGTATTACTGTCAGTGAGAAAGAAGGAGCTTCTTTCCTAATTTCCCATGTGTATTGTGCTGTAACCAGAAAATTCAAGGACTTGGAATTCCATGCAGTTTCAGGGAACAGCTGGAATAAAACTTTTCAGGTATTTGTTATATTATAATGATTGCTAAGTACTGATTTTATGGAGGATAATGTGATGTATCTGCTTAATTATGCATAAGCATTAAACAGGAGAACTGTGTTCTAAAATGTTGATGTTTATATTTTATGGATGGGATTGGGTTTAGGTACCCAAACTCGTAAGAAATTTTTTTTTTATAATTTCATCCAAGCTTGTCTAACACTTGATGCTTTTTATGGTTCTATGATCTCTTTCTCATTATCCCTTGAAAGGTAGCCTCTTTAGGCTAATATTTTTAACCATATCTCTTAATCCGTTTTTAGTATTGCTGTTACTTCTTTCCAGAGATGTAGCAATCCAATGCCTTTTTTTCCATTTTTGTTTCACTCTTAGTGACATGCTGTTCCACAACCTTTTTCCTGTGATGGTTAAAAATATATCTATTAATTTGCAGCTTCCAGTTATTCATTAACAGGGTTTTCTCACTTGTTATTGTGACAACGTTCTCACTGTTTTTAAATAGGTCTTCATGTTTTCTTTAATTCACCCTGTTTAAACCTCACATATGTGTTATTAGTTGTTTCCTAAGGGTGGGGTTTTTTTGGTTTTTTTTTGTTTTTTTCGTTAGGCTGAACAAGCCAAGTTCTACCTGTCTCTGAAAACAGAATTTCATTCTGTAAGTCATCCTGATGGCTCTGCTGTCAATCAGGCTTTTGAGGAAATAACTCAGCAAGTTATACCCTGTACACTAGATGAGGGCTCACAAGGTTTTCCTTGGCCCAGAGCATCCTTTATTATTACTTTCAAATGTTAATGTCCTGTGATTGCCGATAATTGCAAGTCTTTCCTTCTGACACTCAGAAGGAAAATTTTTGTTGCTCGTGTTTGAATGGAAGATGTTTCACCTTGTGCTTTTAAAGAAAATCCCTTCTCCATGTCTCAAGGCATCCAGCTGCCCCTCTGTCCAGATCCCCTCTGCACCAGTAGAGCCTATGGGCTTTGGGTCATTAGCACTCTTCCTTGCCATGGGTCTGCTTTGTTCTGACAGGAACATTACTGCTACTGGCAATTCCCTTAGTCATTAATCAGCTGTACTAATAGCCTTCCTTGGGGCTGTTCTTCCTCCTTCTTCACATCCCCCCTTGGCCAATTACCTTCTCATCTCCGCCTTGGCCAATTACCTAATTACAGTCTTATCATGTTAATTTTTTCCATCCTATCTATTGCTCTAGAGCTACAGGTAGATGAGATTCAGAGCACTTTGTTTATATAGAAAGTTATGTATCTTGAAATAAGCTCTTTGCAGACATAAAATCATTGGCTGTGTTGTGGGGTCAGTTGGTGAATAGTTTTGTTTTTCCTTCTCATAGTTCACTTAATTTTTTGCATATATTGTGTGAATGTTAGTGTAGTGTGTTTAGAAGAACCCGTTACTTTGGCATTGAGTTCGCTTGTAGTGTATCTGTTATGACCGTCAGGCTGTTCATGTTAATTAGAAAGTGCATTAACTGCTATTAGAACAACTTAGGTAGAAAACAATTTTTAATCTTCATTCTGCCATTCAAATGAACATGAAGCAATTTGTGTTCCTCCTTTTCAGCCATTTTTTTATGTACAGGGAGGCTGAGGTGATGGCAATGCAGGCAGGGGCCGGATTAGAGGATGCTAAACTCAGATTTTATTTTGAAGCCCGAATACCTTGTATTTCTGTCTTTCACTCCTCTTTGGGCGGAACATTTCACTGTGGGGTTTCCTGAGAAGTCAGGATTAAGTGTGGGAGTGAAAACTGCTTTGGAGTAATACACAACAAACCATAGTCATTGTAACTTTGGTGGCAGCAGAGGGAGGGGCAAATGACTTCAGGGTGAGACAGGGTCCCATCAAATGCCAGTGCCAGGGCTGTCGCTGACCCCACCTGCCCTGGACCTCACACTGTGACTGTTGGCAGCAGTGAGACAGGACCTGCCTGGCCTCCCTTAAGAACCCATGTCATCAGTAAAAACATATAGATTTGCTCATGCTTACCACTTGTTTTAGCAGGTGAGTAGTGGGAAGAGTGCATGACAGAGCAGTAGCAGCTAATTTTTGGATCCACTATCACCTCTTCATCTTCTTCTTGTTTTGGAAGCCCAGCTCCAAATCCCTCTTAGTTGACACAGAGCAAAATACATAGGTTGATGCCTGCCCTGTGTATCAAAGTGATTCTTGGTGGCTTTGTTCAGGTGCACTTGTAAAATGTGCCACTACTGGCATAAAGAAATATTCTATAGGGATGTAGCTTTTTTCTCTTATCCGCTCGACAAGGTTAAACACTGTATGATACAATTTAGAACTGCATCATTAGCATTGGCTCAGCACACTGTTCAACATCTTAAATCCATAGCTGATTTGTGCTTCTGTCACACCAATATGTAGCTAAGTGAAATATGTAGACTTGAAGAAACTCGTGGTATTCAGCAAGTCATGCCATATTTTTGAAAGTCTGTTCAAAAAGCATGTCCACAGTAAAAATTAGAGCAAAGGTGAGAGAGAAAAATGTTAAAGCGAGTGTGATAAGCCTGTGAGGTAAAGCACATAAACAATTAATTGCAAGATAAGCCATCAAACCCATAGTTGTTGTCCATGACAAATGCAATGTAATTGGGATTGTTTTTACTTAAAAGAAAGGTTAATTAACCCATGGTTCTTCAGTTCTTGGTCATGTACTAATATAGTTTCAGCATGATTGTTGTTTTCTGTCACTTAGTGGTTGGGACCATCTCTGGGAAGGAGGATCACAATTTTAATGCCCACTCATATATTAAAGAGGGCCTTGAGCCCCAGTATCTTGTGCTGCAGTCTCTAACTACTAAGAGAAAGATGATAAAAAAAGGGTAGGTGACTTAGTGTGGTTTTGAATGACTATTCAGGTTCCTGTGCTCTCTTGGGGATTCTGTGCTATATGTGTTATACTGTGCCTTGAGCATGCCTGCTGGACTCATTTCTCATCGTTCAGGTGCAAGTTGACTCATTCTGGCATTGCAAACAGTTTTTGGTGTGAACTGGGAGGCTTTACATGTAAAGACCAAAGTGCCTGTGGACTTTCAGGTACCTGAAGCAGAAATCTCAGTCTTGAAGTTTAAATGTTTAGGTACCTCTGCTATTTTGGGACCAAGGCACTAAGCAGCTCTGCAGTGTTTTATATATGCTACTCAAATCTGATAAGCAGCATTCCCACTCTTCCTCTGTGTGCTGCATAGGAGTGGTGACGCTGCCACAGTGTCTGTTCAGCCTTGTCTGACTGTAAGCATTATCTGCTGCTGGAAGCTCTCCCACACTCCCAGGAGCAGAAGTACATAGTAACAAGTGTGATGCTGTGACTTAAACTAGTAGTCAGCACAGCAGCAGAGTCACCATTTTGAATTCCAGCTCACCTTATAAATCAGATTAAGTCTCTTTTCAAAGCTCGTGGTCGATATGGGTGATGACCGTCTACATCTCTGACTTCTTCTGTATCACTTCAGCCAGACTGTTGCCTCCCTTTCCTCATTTTATATGTTCTCAAAACCAGCCTAGTTCCTTCTCTTGTCTCACAAACCTTTGGTTCATCAACTTTAACACTTTCCTACAGATTTGGCTTAAAAACTATAAATTGTCAGGATTAAAAGCTCTACTTTTGCCAGGAGCAGATGGTTCATGCATGGTGAATGTTGTTTATCATGTAAATGTAAGATCTGAGTTAAAAATGGGATCCTAAAGAGTTGTAAGTCTGTACTAGCAGCCTCTGCACTGAGGTGAATATTTTTACATGGAATAAATTCAAACTCTTAGGGCACAAAATACATCACTGATGTAATTTACTATACAAGTAGTGGTTTTCAGATGCAGAGCTTTTCTGTGATCATAAGCCCATGTATTGAAGTGCTTAAATAGTCTCCTAGGAACCATACTGATCATAGGTGAAAAATCAGCATTGTTTTAGAGAGTGAGCTTTGCTGTTCCAGCCTTCTGAGTCTGCCTTTTCTCTTCCTGCAGCTTGTGGATGTGACCTGGCTCAAGGAGGATTTTTTGTGAGACAGGGAGACTACATCTGTACTTTGGACTACCAGAGACTCTATGGCACACGGTGCTTCAGTTGTGATGAATTCATTGAGGGAGAAGTGGTCTCAGCACTGGGCAAAACCTATCACCCAGACTGTTTTGTGTGTGCTGTCTGCAGGTATGTTTTCTACATGAAGTTGTGTTTCATTGAAAAACTAGATTTTGGAAGATGAATGCCAGGTGTTCAAACTTATAGCCTATAGTTGGTGAAAAAAAAAAAAAGTTCTGGTTTCTATTATCCACTTATTAAAAAGTAGCAGAATTTAAAAAAAAAAAAGTAAGCAAATACATTTTTTTTTCCAAAATTATTTTTCTGTTTTATGGTATCTTTTGTGCAAGGTTTTCAAAGTACTTGAAAAAGTGCCACTGACTCTACTGTCAAAACTTTTGCCCCAGATGTTTCTTTGTTTCTCCAGTATCTGTTGTATTGTCTTTTGTTATCTGAAGTTACAAAGGATTCAAATGCCAGTGGCTGGGTCTTCAGCAAGCCAAGTGAATAGCATTTTAATAGATTTTAACTGAAGTTTCACAGTGCTGCTTCCCAAATATTCCGGTATTTATTTAAAATAGGATAGAAAGGTTTTGGACTCACAAACAATTATGTCCAGGTTGAATTTCACTGGATTTAATCTCCAGCAGCTGTGGTGGTGACACAGCACACAAGATTTTCCCCTCCTACAGTCCAGTATAGTTCAGTGGGATCATTTCCCATTGGGGGGGTGATGTTGCGACCAGTGTTGGTGGAGATGTTTGCAGACTCTGCAGCACAAGCAGTTGATGTCCATTTGACCTGTGTCTTAATCCTGTGGAAACACCACAAACACATCTGTTGAAGACTGCAGGAGGAAAAAACTAAGTCTACCAAACCTTCAGTAAATGCAAGTGGAAGTACTGTAACAGTTTCTCTGGCTAAACTTAAGCCTTTAGCAGTACATGAAAAGTAAGCCCACATTCCAAGAGAAAGCACAACAGGGAACTGACACCCCATGCTAGAGATGCTGTGTGTGCTGGTATCTCATTCAGATGACTCTACAGCCCAAAACAGGTGTGGCCATGTCACTGTGGGTGTCTGCCAGCCAAATCTGCACAGCCTGTAGGGCTGCCAAGCTCAGAGGTCTTCCTGTGCTGATGCAGAAGCAGGACTTCAAATTCCAGAACAGCCATGGTTCATGGCAAGATCTCTCTTTAATATATCAGTTGGAGGAATAATTAAGTAGCCATGTTAAGGGAAAGACTCGGAGACTGACAAGCCTTTAGTATATTAAATTCTGTCTGTTCAAGTTTTGCATGTTTAATAAAAGACTTTTTTCCTTTTGGATACTTAAAAAAAATAAATGAAGAGTAAAGATAACACAAAAGCCTAAAATTTTCTTTAAAAAAAAAAAATGTATTTTGCTGACTAGTGAGATTTGATCAGTGTCTCTCAGGGCATTTGTATCACTGACTTGTGATGCAGAGCAGCAGAAGAATCCCTTCATCTGTTTATAGTAATAAAAAAATTAACCAGGTCCTCAACTGCTTTAAATCATCATTGCTTCAATTACTCCAGTCTTTGCAAGCCAGACATAGTTTGTTGTTTATGAGAGTGTCCTATCTAAGCATCATCATCATTTATTTGATTGAATGATATCCTTAGTAAAAATAGGGTTGCTAGACTGTAAATAGATGTGGTTTAAGCAGAAAAAGGAACTTTCTTTTGTATTAAAAAAAAAAAAATCAAAACCAATATCAAAAGAAAAATAAGCAGAGCTATTTTATTTGAGGTACAGGAGTGTAATGCACTCTACCTTGGCATTTTCTTTGGTGGGAAGAGTCAGGAGTACCATCTGTGTCCTTATTTCTTACAGAAGGGCAGAAACCTTAAATAAGAGGCCAAAAGCATTCCATCTGAGGCAGTTGGTTCATCATGCAAAGTGCAGCTGATGTTTCCTTTTACAGCTGGACTTTAATGTGGGTGCTCTGTTAGAAATCTGATTTCCAGAACAGTGTGAACATGAGAGGTGGTGATGGCCTCACAGTGGGGGTGATCCTGCTCTAATGGAAACCAAGCAAGGCTCTTTTTGAAAACAACTGGCTGCAGAAGGCACTTTGCACTCATGACCTGGGTCTCCAGAGTGGTGCAAGATCATTAAGTGCTTTAAATCAGCACTTTTATAACCTGTGTTTCTGTACCTCTGAAGTAATGCTTTTAAACTGTTCTTCTGTTGAATAGTAAACCAGGCGTGGTAGCAACTCCTTTTTTTATTTTCAGAAAATACAATATCTGAATAGAATCTAATGGGAACTGTGTAGTGTTTCAGATGGTATAATCAGTGAGAAAACCTAATGTACACACAGCTACGAGGAGCTGTGGGGAAACAGCCCATAATGCAAGCCCAGTTTTTTTTTTTGAGCTCCTGTTATTACACTTTTTAAATTCCGTGTGGCCCAGTGTCACAGGACACAGGTCTTCACCTGTGTGAAGCCTGTGTGTCAGAAACCCAACTCATCCTTGGGCATCCCTTGGGTGCCACAGGTCAAAATGTGAAAAAAGTGAATTAGTATTCAGAAAAAAACCCTATGTGATTGTTTCTCTCTATCTTGCATTGACCAGGTGGCTCTTAAATTCAGGTTTTAATTGTATGTTTACTCTGCTAGCATAAAGATTGAGGGCTTAGTTCCTTCTTCCAGTGCAGTTCATAGTCCAGTGAAACCTGGGTTTTCGTGTTGTGTTTTGTGATGATCTGGTTGGTTCGGTGTAAAAAGGGGTTCAGGGCAGTACCCACATGGAACAGAACTATGTACTCCCCTTCCCTACCCCTCCCCCCCGAGAGAGAGAGAGACTTTGAAAAAAAATTATGAAGTATATTGTTTAACAAGGAACAGAAAACTAAAAAGGGAGGTAAGAAAAAAAATATATACAAAGATTAGGGGAAATACAAAAATAAGCAAAATATAGAAAACCCTCAGAAATAGTTCCAAGGTCCTACGGAGCGAAGCACAACCTCCACCTCTGAGCTTCAGGGCAGGAGTGAAGTTAGCACCCACTTCCTGCCTCTCATCAGAGTGTGTGTGGGAAGGGGAGGGAATACAATGGTTCACCCCCACCCAGGGTCCTCCCAGGTGCTGGAAGGTCACACCCCCATTCCAAGCCTCAAACCACAACAATGATAATGCCTAAAACTACGGAGGAGTAGAAGAAAAACATCATAGAATGAAAAATACTGCAGATTAGCTGCTTACTCTGAATTCCCAGGAAGTGAGTGGACAATGTTATTCTTACAGCTCTATTAATTGGAAGGGTCTGTGTTCTCCAGAGAGCTGCCAAAGACGTTTCCTTCCAACACTTCATGTTTGTAGAAGTGTAGACGAAAGAGAGAGAAAATTAAGGCTATCTGAAGCAATTGAAGCTGAATTTTATTAAATTCATTCATGTAGTTCTTACGTGGTTGTCAGAGACACGACTGTATGGCTCTTAGGCAGGATGGGAAAGGGCTTTGAGCCTTTCAAAAAGAAATGGGTAATCATACTGGTGATAATACTTTTGGAAAATGGAGTTTTCAGGAGAAGTCTTGGTGTATTAATAAGTTGTATAGATATATTAAACATATGTAAGATGTATGGTCTGCATAATGTACTGTACATAGACTGATTTCAGTATTATCAAAAATCTGTCATTGGGTTTTATGAGTTAATACAATTGGTAAAGTCTGGGGGGGAAGGGTGTTTATTCAGCCAGTTGGAGGAATATATATAATTGTTACAGAACCATAGAATCATTTAGGTTGGGAAATACCCTTCAGATCATCAAGTCCAACCATTAACACAGCACTGCTGAGTCACCACTAAACCATGTCCCTCAGCAGCACATCTACACATCTTTAAATACCTCCAGGCACCTCCAGCTCCTGTCTAAACCCCTCTGTAGACCCTCCTTGCCTTCAAGCAGATCAACACTACCACCCAAGTTGGTGTTGTCTGCAAACTTACTTGAGGGTGCCTGTGATCCCCTCATCCAGATCATTGGTAAAGATATTAAAGAGAACTGGCCACAGTAGTGAGCTGCCAATCGAATTTTGTCTTCATCCACCACCACTTCCTGGTCCTGACCATCAAGCCAGTTTTTATCGCAGCCGAGCGTGCACCCATCCAAGCCATGAGCAGCAAGTTTCTTCAGGAGAATGCAGTGGGAAACAGTGTCAAAGACCATTTAATTTCAGTATTCTTATAATTACAAGTTGGAAAAATAGAGCTTTTTGTGACAAGTAAATAATGAAGAAAGAAGGATGATTTGACTCTTAGCTGAGGGACAGATTAATACGTACATTCCAGGTTAATAACCAAACAGGTTAGTGTTTGCTTTACAGAATTTGGAAGATTATCTATGTTTTGTCTGAATTTATGAAGTTGTTTCTTGAAACAGAATATTCACAGGAGCTGAATATATGCCATGTAGAGTTGAATAATGTGTGGAGTGGCAAGAGGCAGTTACATATTCTTCAAGTGGTTTTGTACCAAACCCAGATCTAAACTTTATCTCAGTCATTTTCTATTTCTGTTACATTCAAGAAGGTAATTTACTGTGGCCAGGCAGTTGAATGTAAACACCCAGAAAACTAAAAACTTCCTTTTTTAACAAAAGGGTTTATATTCCTACGCATAGCACCGCTATTTCTAGAAAGAAGCTTTAGTATGTATGCATTAAGAAACTGAGATAATAATGAAAATTAGAAGTTAAAATTCAGTTAGTTCTGAAATGCATCAGTCATGTTATACTTCTCAAATGTACTAAACCTTTTTAATGGCTCACTTTTTGTCATGCTGCTGAATTTTGAAAGGGTTTGGTTCCTGCTTAAGCAGCACTGGATACTTCTTAAAACACCTTATGAAGCGGGCATCTTCATCAGCATGCTGAGGCCAAAGATTTGAAGTCGGTCTGAGTGTTGTTCTTGGCATTCTGATTCTAAGCCAAATATATTTATGAATACATGGTGCTTCCTGAACAAATGAGTCTTGCAGGCTGCTCTTCAGGCTTACCTGTGGAGCGTACCTATAGGCCTAGAGTCATGTAAGATGGAAGGGATCTCTGCGGATCCTGGGGTCCAGCCCATGGCTGAAGGCAAGTTCAGTTCAAGCAGGTGCTGATGGCATTTGTTTAAAATATTTCCAAGGATGGAGATCCCACAGGCTGTCTGGACACCCTGTTCCAGCATTTGAGCATGCTCATGGTAACTTCTTTTTTACCTTGTACAGAGCTGACAATTTGCTGTGTTCCAGCCTTGTGTCCTTTTACTCTGTACTTTCGGGAAGAATGTAGCTTTAATTTCATATACATGTCATCAGGTAGAGTTAGACAGTAATAAGATCCCCCTGAGTATTTTAAGGCTGAACAAGTCCATCTGTGACCTGTTTCTGTCCCTCCCCCTGTATCCTGTGCTGCAGCTCTGAACCTAGCCACCTCCACTGGTGCCCCTCCAGTAAATCTTGTCCTGAAGAGCCCCAAATGCTACACACTGCTCCAGATGCAGTCTCTCAAATGATGAACAGAAGGGAAGATCACATCCCTGGTCCTGCTGGCTACACTAATGCAGACTAGGTTGTGGTTGGCCTTCTTTGCTGCAGAGACACTGTGCTGACTTATGTTGAACATGGTGTCCACCCGGACCCCTAACATGTTTTTATGTTTTCCAGCTGATGGACCCCCAAGGTGTAGTGGTGCGTGGGGTTATTCCCCCCTGGGTGTAGGACTTGACGCTTCCCCTTGTTGAAATTTGTGGAGCCAGTAGACAGCAAAAAATCTCCACTTTGTATCCTCAGGTTTAATGTCCTGGGTCAAATTCATCTCTATGGAGCAACCTTGAGGAATGTGATTGTACCAGGTATAAGTTAGAGCAGAATTTGATCCTGTAGGTGCTTAGGTTGCAGTCTGACATTACACCTGACCCACTGTAACTGCAGTCAGCTACTGAAATTAATAGCTTTGCTCTCCGCACAAGCCAGGCCATGTGCTTCTGTTAATTTTCTTATATCAAATTTAGTTGACTGTTCAGCCACAGAGTCAGATCAGCAATTTAAAGAACAGAAGGCCATCTATCTGCTCTGAAAAAAACAGAATATTTTCGTTTGGCCCAGAAAGCTTGAATGACCCACAGCTACATAGGTTAAGATACGGTGCAGAGAAGGACAAGTCCAGGACCAGACCTTTCAGTGTCAGCACACCTTGGGTTAGGCTCATCGTAGTTTGATGATTTATAATATAATTTTATTGGTGAGCTTAAGATGTTCTTGGGTTTACAAATATTGTAAGCAGGTGGATAAAATAAAATTCATTGGGAAAAGAATCACAGAAGGTGCATTGTAATCCTACAAGTCATTTCAGAGAGCTGTTTTAAAGATGCTCTTAATTCTCATTTTAAAAAAATTGTCCAACTGTGCAAATCACACTGAATATTTTTAAAAAGAACAGTAGCTAAATAAAACCTATACCTCGTAACGTTGAGTGGGTGACTGGTGGTGAGATGTCGTTTTATTCGGGGACAACGCTGCTCGTAACTTACAATGCTATATATAGTCCTGCTCAGAAACTGAAACCTTGTTAATTGACTGTTACCACCTTCTGTTGTGCCTTCACTCATACGAACATCAAAATGCTCAAGCAGGGCTGCTTGTGAAAGAGAGGTCAGATGGTACAGAAGTACTGGCAAATGCATAGTGTACAAATTCTGGATTCCAAATGAACAAGGTAGTGAAGTAAAATCTGAGACATAATTATGGGTTTAGAAGACCAGCAAGGGAAGGAAACATTTGCCTGTACCTTTGGACAGACAACTTCCAAGAAGGATTTCCTTATTTTTTTTAGAGGAAAGCATCTTGCAGTTTTGGAAACCTAAATAGAGAATTGAAATTGTTGCCCTCTCACATCTGAGTGGAAGGGCACTGTGATTAGTTACTAAACTCTTATAAAACAAACTAAGATGTTTTTATGGGCTGGGAAAGCCCCCACATGCCCTCCCCTCTAAGGAGGCTCTGTGGCACAGTGTGGTGGCGCTGAGGTTTGGCATGTTCTGTGGGTGTCATCTACCTGGCTCTCTGTGCCACAGGTCAATTATCCTATTCTTCTCTTCTAGTTTTAACTTTGTTTCAAATTGCCTAAATGCCAACTCAGAGTGATCAGTCCCTGCTTCCATTTTACCTGATGCTTGGTGCAGCTGTGTGAGATGGGCTTCTGTGCGCAGCTGGAAGTTCAGCTGGATTTTTGTTAGATAAATCACTGAGGCAAAAAATAGATCTTAACGTTCCCTCTGGCTACTGCTCCTAATATACTAGATACCAGAATGCTCAGTAGTCACAGTTATTCTTCAGAGCAGTGAATCATCCATGGATTCCAGGAGCCACCATCTCCAGGATTATTAACAGTACAAAGCATGCTGTTTTACTGAGACATCCCATGAGTTTCCACTTGGGTCATTAGCCAAGTCCCAGTCTTGATCCCCATAAAGACTGTGGCAAAAGATACTCATGCTAATATCCTGCCCAGGGCATGCAGCTATGTCTAGGAATGACAGATGTCAGGGTAGCTGTATGGCAGTGTAGTCCTGTGGTTGTATCTGTGGAGCAGAATAACGTTGTGGGGGTTTAATTTAGAGCAAACTACCAGTGGTCATGATAAATCTTAAGTTATCTGTAAGTCAAGGTAAGATGTCTTCCTAAAAACATTCAGGAGGTTGATTCCAAGTTTGTCTCAGTTCTGGAACAGTTGGTTTGTATCTTTCCAGGTCAATCAATAGTGCTAGTTTCTTCATTTTGTAATATTTTGTTCAAATGAAGGCATAATTCAATGGTTTCTTTTACATCAGCAACAGAAAACTAAGTCAGTATTTGAATTATATGACATCATTTTTGAGACAGTTTTCATAATTAATCATTAATTTTTATTATCAGTATGGCAGTATAACAAATTTCCTAATTTCCTAGTCAAATGTATGTATGCTTATTTGAAGAAATTTCTTTTGGACCTTTAGATGACATCCAGAGATTCTTTCCAAGCTCAACTGTTCTGTGACGTTCATGAAATCCTTTTATTGTTCCATATATTAGGAGGCTCTATGACTTCAAGCAGTATAAAAAAAACCCATTGTGGATAACAGCTATGACCTAAAAAAAATATATATTATTTTTTTAAATATAACACAGGAGCTTGCTGCTGCTGGGTTGCTGCAAGATGAGACAGAATTGCTACTCACTGGAGCAGTGTGGTTCCATCACATCCTGTCTGTTACACCAGTGACAGACAGAGCTGGTTTCTTCTGATCGGATTGTTGAGTAAAATACGTGGTAGAAAATCCTCTCTTGAACAGGTGGAAATTTAGGACTCCTGAGTCTATATTAACATGGTGTTGGCCCTCTTTGTACCAGAATCACACGTGGAGCATTTAGTTGTGTCAAAGAGCAAGACAATTTTAAAGGCTATTTCCATAAACTTAAGGTCATGGAAGATATTTTAGCTAAGTATGAAGGTAGCAAGTATTTGGAGTATAAAGTCATTGGTGAAAGGAAAAAAAAGATGAAGAGCAGAATTCATTATCAGATATCCAGATATGTAACAATAGTTAAACTCCATGTTTCTTCATGATTTTTGAAGTATTGCATATGGTCCAGAATGGTTGACAGTGTTGACCATCTATTAAGCTGGGTTAAAATAGATTTTAGTAACATTCTTCAGAAGCAAAGGGCAGCATTGCTTTTATTCTCTTTTAAGCAGTGAAATTTTATTTTAAATGCAACACAAAAGTAGAATAAGCCAAACTTGGGGTGTTTAGGGAGCAAAATAATGTTTTTGCTCAGCAAGATGTATCTGAAGCTTTTGTAGTGAAGACAGCCACTCAGCTGGTATGAATTTGATAGTTTGTGAGGAAATGTCTTGTAGAGTTTTAATGAAATGTTAATGAAATAATCTGATCAGATGGATTTCACCATGAGGCAGAAGGCCTGTGTTGTGTTTATGCCCCACTTAAGCCATATTTTGATAGCTCGCCTGGGATTTAGTTGGATATGAGCTTTGGGTGGAGGAAAATGTGTTTATAAATGCTCACCATCCTTTGCTGTATTATGAAGTGATTTGTCCATCTGGTACTCTTGGAGAAAAAAAAATTCAGTGGTTTCTGTGCCTGGACAAAGCCCACCAGAGAAAGCTTTTGGTTTTAAAGATGTTGATAAAAAGGAAGGATTTAATGAAACGTAAGGAGCTGTTGTTGAGTAGAGCAAGCAGGTAGTCTAGACATTTTGGGGTTTATAACTGGGATATCTTTTCTCCTGGGAGAGCTCACCGACATTTGCTTTCTGAGCATATGGATTAAGAGAAGAACTCTGGACAAAGTTGGGAGGAAGTGCTTTTCTTTAATGTCTGAAAGTCATCGCTCCGGTGCAGCTTAACAACAACAAAGCAGCTCCATTTGCCTGTACTTTCTCCTTTAATGCAAATTTTATTTTCATGCTGTAACTGATCCTGTTAGTGATCAACCCTTGCTGATACTACATTTCTAAGATACACAAGGATTTGCTAAGCATGGTTTGTATCTTTAGATAATATTTTTTTTTCTATGTAGCCATAACATCTGCATTTGCAATTGTCTGTCTGAAGTGTCTCTTCAGTACTTTAGCTTCTGAATGTCTGAAAAATTGCCAGTGAGAACTGTTTCCTCTGTTGCAGGCTGCCATTCCCTGCGGGTGACCGGGTGACGTTTAATGGGAAGGAGTGCATCTGCCAGAAGTGTTCCCTGCCCCCTTCCAGCAGCACCAGCTCTTTCCCCGTACAGAACCTGCGAAGTAAGTCTGAGTTTCTGCTCTCCTCTGCTGGTACTTCTTAATCTGTACAGGTTTAACAGACAAAATTTTACAGCAATATGTGTAACTGGAACTTCTACCACTATGCTGCATAAAAGGTGTCAATGTAGGCATGTGAAAAAGTATATGGTAGTTTTCCAAGAAAGTCTGATATTAAACAGAAACGGTGCCATTATAGGGTTAACAATCCACATAACCTCTCAGAATGTTTGGTTGAAACTGGAGTAAATCAAATTATTTGGAGAAGTATGCAATATAGATGTTAGTACTTCTGAGGATTTAGTCCAACTCCAGCTAAAGTGGAGTCCAATGTGAGATTTAATAATTGAGTTTTCCTGTATCGCTTCATAAAATATCAGTGACAGGACTGCATGGCTAAATACTACACAGGAAGGGTTAATGTATGCAATGTGACCAGAGGGACATTTGCCTTGACCTCAGTACTATTGTTTACTATCAGAAGATGCAAACACTGCAGAGAAGAAATGTGGTCTTTGCATACCACCTTTCTTGCAGCAGATCGTAGAGTGCTATTGTTAGTCTGAACTCGTATCTCTCCGATGATTTGTTCAAAAAGAGCTGCTATGGTTTAAAATTCAACCACTGCTTTTATGTAGTTAAATAGCAACAGCAATTCAATTAAACAGCAAAGACAGAAATATTTTTAATGTCTCGCATCACATTGAGCTGGATTCAGCATGGCTGAGGAAGGACCCCATAGATTGCTCTTTTATTTAAGGAATCCAGCTCACTTCAGCGAGAAATTTGTCTTTTTTTTTTTTTCCTTGTTTGTTTTCCCCCAAGTCTCTCCTTTTACAGGTTTTCACTATCTCCTTTCTCCAGTTTGTTAGCAAAAGCTGCTGTGCGAATGCTGTGGGAGATGCTGTGCTGACTCCTCTCTTGTCAATGCTGTTCTCTTTTCTAGGGGGTATAACCCTATCTCTTATGTTCTTCCTCTTGTTACTTATTCCTGGAGATGATCATCCTCATCTGTCTTGGCTGGCTGTATTTGCAGATCCATACTTTAATGACCTATCATGCATTTGTCTCCTTTTTATATGGGAGAGGCGGCTTTGACTTTAATGGACATTATTTGCCTGGCTGAATACTGACAGAACAAGTTCATTTGATTATCTGTGATACAGAATCCTTTAATGTGCTTACATTACACCCTCCCCTAACCCCCACGGAGAGGTTTTTATTCTTGCCTTGCATTTCCCCAGATCACTGCATCGGGTCTCCCCAGGGCACAGGTACCTGCAAACCTCAGCACACCACTTGCCTCAGAGGGAAACAGCACCAGAAGTATATCTTTTTGGCAAAACCTGACATTGGAAAACAAAAATGTAGTTTTTCCCCCAAGTAAAACCTCAAACATACTTATTTAAACCTCAAACACAGGCCTGCTTTAAATCTAATTAGAAATGGATAAAGTCTTTCCATATGTTTCAGTGGATTTGGTTAAGAGTCTTGGTTCAAACGTGGGTATCTGCCATACTGTAGACTGGACTTCTAAAGGAATTTTATCTCGTCTTCACCTGAGACTAACCAGCTCTGCTTTTCAAACAATGTACTGATGGGAGTGAGCTGATAAGTGTAAAGACTCCTCAAAGGGAAAATGGAAGTCCACATCTGGCCTGCAACTAAATTGTGCCATGGTGTTGCCAGGATCCTAGATAACTATCATCCTTCACTGTGTAGGCTATACCCTTTCTTATCTCTTCCTTACTCCATTTCCCCAGTGTCTTGCAGAAGAGCTGCAGGCCAGCATCTTCTAATTTTGTGGTGACATGCAGCACCCATCTAACCCAGGAGCTCAGGGGACTCAGGAGACTGGATAGCAGTGATATAATCCCCCTTGTGGGGAATGGAGCTTTGATGAGGCAGTGGGAAGCACTGCAGCCATAAATACATGGAGGTGCATGCATGTATATGGGACGGGATATGTAAGACAACGACAATACACAGAAAATTAACTATATATCTTAAAAGATAATAAAGAATATGGGAAACGTTCAGATTAATATGTGAAAAGAGCAGTATATAAGCAGTTGTTTTCTAAACATCTAATCCTTAGGCTAGAACCCAGGTTTCAGGAATAAACAAGCAGCATCAGAGGCTTCTTGGCTGAGGTGGAAAATTGGAGGTCCAGTGTACCAGTCTGTACTTCTGCTGCATATTACATAGAGCAACAAATGGCATCTCCTTGTTTTAACAACAGTTTTCCTGGAAAAGACCTCAATGGTTTAGTCAAACAATTCTTTTTATAAAGGAACAGTAGCGCACAAAGTATGTGACCTGAGTCAAGGACCAGGTAATGTGTTACATTGGATTTGCTCCTGGCTCAGAACTGCTTGATGCTTACTATGTATGTTATTTCTCAGCCTGTTTATCTCTGACTCAAGCTGAAGAATGCTTCAGGAGATCTCTTGGGACTCACTGAGCTCCCAGCATCACCGTCCCCTCTGCCCAGTCCCATTTTCATCCTCCCGCTTTGGTGTTGACCTCCTTTATGCATTATATTTGAAAGAAATGAAGAATCTCAAATATTTGCTTTTTGCCAGAGTCCTTGAATTTTTTATTATTATATAAATACCTATCTACCTACCTCTTTTGTTTTATTTATAAAACACTTGGAAAAACTCTCCTGGCAGTGTTGATGTTGAAAGAGTACTTGAGGAAGAATATCAACATGTAGCAGCAAATTGATGTGCTCTACAGAGTTATTGGTTGAAATTAGGTGAGTCACCAAAGAGACAGGAAGACAAGGGCTTCACATCAGTAGGCACTGTTGGCATAGCAACCACAATATTTGTTTTTAATTATCTGGAACTTAACAGAGAAAACAGCAGTGGGGAATAAAAAGTAGCTTACAAAATGCTGCATTTCTGCCCACTCAGGCTTAAAGCAGATGAAAGGTGAATGACATCTGAGCACACAGAGTTGTATTAAGTTTGTGAAATAAACAACGCAACCAGTGAGATTAAATTAGATTACCAGATGAACCCCTGGTGCAGGAGAGATCACAAACAAGTTTCTGATTGCAGTTAAAATAGATACAGCAAAATACTGCAGTGTTTATTCTCTTGTGGGACAAAATCCAGGCTCACACCCAAATGTTCTCTTTTATTAGCAAAACTCAAATGTTCTGATCTGTGGTGCACACGCTTTTGTGCTGGGCTGGTTTCCATATATAGGTGCTCTACAGGGTGATATTAGAGAGACATATTATTAGTCCCTTAATCCATTCCAAATCCACTAAAGGAAAATAAGAACTATCCTTTATTATTATGCGCTCAGAAATGAAACATTTACGATTGCATTAACAGAGTGTCTCATTAGGGTCACATAACCAACTAAATAGAATCTTAAATCAGAAAGTTCAAGAGGACTGTTTAAATCTTTTAATGAGATCCTATGTTTAGAGTTCTTTCTTAGTAACTAGATAAATCTTTTTTTAATGCTTTTATGTATTTTTCTCTTCCATGGAAGACATTGTTGTGGTTTGATTTTTTGCTTGTTTGTTGTTTGTATTTTCTTTTCTGGCATTCTAAATTATTTTTTGTCTTTTCACTAGCAAATCATTGGTATACATGAAGAATTCCTAAAAAATGAAAAAAGTACATGATTTCATATAAGATGGAAGATACAATCACATGGAAGTCTAGGAGGGTTACTGAGATATTGATATTAGAATCAGTTAATTACTGATATTTTTCCACATATGCTGACTATTTTAACATTTTGTAAGGAAACTATACATAGACAGGAATCTGCAGAGGGAAGAGTGAATGATAGCTGGACCCTGTAGGGTATTAGAGGATGCATTTAGGGTATAGAAAGCCAGATTCAAATCCCATGTCTATGTAGGATCTCTAAATAGGGTGCTTGTGGACTGTTGGTATGGAAACTGAGGGTATAGTTGGATTTTACTGATATAGTAAAAACCATCCATCATTTAAAGAATAAAAAGGGACAAACTCACTCCCCAAAAAGTCTTGTCCTCTATTATTTTTTCTAGGGAGTATGACCAGTTCGCATGTAGCCTGTTGTCCTGGTTCCGTGTAAAAAGGGGTTCAGGGCAGGACCCACACGGAACAGAACTATGTACTCGCCTCTCCCCCACCCCCTCGAGAGAGAGAGAGAGAGACTTTTTAGAAAAAAAAATGAAGTATATTGTTCAACAAGGAACAGAAAACGAAAAAGGGAGGTAAGGAAAATAATATATATAAAGACCAGGGGAATAATACAAAAGATAAAATATACAAAACCCTCAGAAATGGTTCCAGGGTCCCACGGAGTGAAAGGAGAACTTTCCTCTCCGAGCTCCAAGGCAGGAGTGAAACAAAAAACCACTCCCTGCCTCTTATCAGAGTGTGTGTGGGAAGGGGAGGGAATACAATGGTTTCACCCCCACCCGGGGTCCTCCCAGTTGCTGGAAGGTCACGCCCCCATTCCAAGCCTCAAACCACAACACCTGTTTAACCAACATTAGCCTAGCCGATGTTATACAGTACTTACATGTTTTGCATTTAATTTTTGTAATCACTTTTTGGAACTTTATATAAATGAGTTCCAAGAAATATATAGCTAGACGTCACTGTCACATATTGCAGTGTCACGACTACTCAGGAATTTGTCATGTCTCTTAAGTATTGGTATGTTTTTCCTTGTTACAGATTTTCACATCAGAATTTCATCTTACTTTTTTTCATGGATGCAAAAAGAATTTTGAAATAATAAGTAAAGCTCTCAGATCCAGAAGCAAAGTCCACTATGAAGAACCAATTACTTGTTTTAATCTCACGACTTTTAAGTCTTTTGTATTGATTTTATTGGGCTGATTTACGATACTTGAAAACTTAATCAGCAAAACTTCATCTTTTAAACACAGTAAAAGTGAATTAAACTAAAACCTAGTCACATGCTTCAAGTGTTCTAGCAATGTGAGGACAATATTAGGGCAGCATCACTTGTCATGCAGCAGCCAGCAGCGAGCTGTTACTTGGGACACCAGTGGATCCTCGTAGTGCTGTAAGCAGTACTGTTGCATGACTGCCTAAAGCATGTGATTCACTCATACTGGATTTTTCTCTTGCAGATTGTGGGGGCTGTGGTTCAGAAATAAAAAATGGGCAGTCATTGGTAGCCTTGGACAAACACTGGCATTTGGGCTGTTTTAAGTGCAATATATGCGGCAAGCTACTGAATGCAGAGTACATCAGCAAGTAAGTTATTTGGAGGGCCATTTTCTCTTGTTTCCAGTTTTCTTTTAATACCAAATAATTAACTTAGTATTGCATAACCTTTAGGGCTTGTTTATGTATGTTTGGAGATACTGAAAAGATTAGAGATTATCTAAATTATCTAAAATGTCTTAAAAGCAAAAAAAGAAATCAAATTAAGAAAAGCAAAAATTGAATTTATCCATTTACCTGGAACGGGACCTGACAAAGCAGCTATGGTCTAGAAGGACAATGGCTGGAGGATGCTTCAAAGCCTCCAAGACACGCGCTTAGTTATTTGTGTTCGACTGCTGTGTGCGATGCTGTAATGAGAACAATCAGATATTATCCTTTCCATATGTTTCACATAAGCAAAAATGTTCTCAAAAAGTTCATTAAGGAGGTACATATCACACTTCTGTGCTGCTCCAGACCTTAGTGCAGTCTGATTTGGGCTGAATGTGATGACAGCAGTGAGAGGCAACACAAAGCACACACACAGACCAAGTCCCATGTCAGCACTCGTATCTGTCTGGTGAGCTACAGGGTTTTCACTGGCCAAGGCACCTGGTATTAATTTCTGCTTCAGAGAAGTGTGTTGATATGATGAAATTTTCCTAAGCAGCTAAGTAACTCAATCACCAGTGCCCAGAGATGATGGAGTTTCAGAGCCAGTGTCTCACTGACTTTCAACAATTCTATGGGTTTAGATTAATACAAATATAACATCTAATGTCACAGCTTGCACTGGAGAAACAATATTTAATGAAATTATCTTCTTAAATAAGATTTTACATTGTCTCAAATGTTATGCTGCTCTGCCATATTGTGATGGAGTGTTTTTTTACTTATTATTTAATAATAAAAACCCCATAAGTTTTATAAAGGTGTAGTTTTTGTGAAATCCTCTTTTAAAAAAAGCTAAATTAAACAAAATAAGAGAAGAAACATCCTGGCTTCAATTATTTAAATAATTATTGTGATAACTTACAGGTTAGTCTCTAAGCAATCCAACATGTACGCTATAAAATTGAATTTTATGTTTCTTCAGGGAAACATCTAGTAGAATTATGCCTCTGCTAACACATCTGTGGGGTGTTTTGGCATAACACACTAAACATACCTAACTATGTTTAACTTGCACCTTGAAACAGGAGAAGAGTCACCAGTTTCTTCTAGAACAATTAATTTTCATTCATTGGTTTAATGATCTAGGTGTAAAACTTTGTAAAATTGTGATCTGAATGTAAAATTGACAAATAGGTTCATTTCGGAGCAATAGCCCAAGACTTCTGGTTCTGACCTTTTAGAATAAAAGCTGACTTCTGGTTTTATTCTTCATATTTTTGAATTGTACATTATCTTAAATCACTTGTAGTGGTGAAATAACTGTTCACCTTATGCCTGAACGTACTGCAAGATCTCTTCTGCTGCTGGGGTTGTATTCTCCTAGTCCTTACTGGCTTACATGGAGCAGGTTCCTGAGGTGGTTAATCCATGCCTGTCTTCAAGCAAGTAAAGAATGTCAGCAGATTTGAATGTTGATCAAAACTTGGTTTACAGCCAATATATTCAGTTGAGAAATTACTCTGTGCAGTCTAAGGGTAGAGCTAAACGATTAGATTTTTAAATACATATATATGTATTAGGTGATACATATATTAGTTTAACTAGATGATAAGAGGAAAAGAATAATATGTAGAAATAATTATTTTTTCCAGAGATGGGGAACCATGTGGAAGAAGTTAATGAGTAACACTGTCAAAACAAACGGTGTGAGAGTCTCAGAGACCGTCAAGGGGACAGGGGAGAGGCAATGGCTGAATTCAGTCAACAAACCAGGAAAGTGGGATTATGGTAGACTCAGAAGGGCCAGTTTAGTTCATTAACCATTAAATTCTTTACAAGATTAATAAATACAAGTATCTGGGAGGTGGGAAATCCGTAAACACCCTGTGAAGTGTTGAAGCATTAACAAAATTTGGCTATATAACCTCCCAGCAAACCTACCTAAAGCGACCTCTGTCTGGCCTGTTGTTCCCCAGGGATGGTGTCCCGTACTGCGAAACGGACTATCACGCAAAGTTTGGTATCAGATGTGACAACTGTGAGAAGTATATCACAGGAAGAGTACTCGAGGTAAGGAGAACCTGTCATGCAAACACCTCTCAGTGTACAAAGAGACTTGCTCTTTTGGGGGGGGGTGTATGCTTACATATGAGTGTTAATGAACACTGTAGCGCTACTTCTAAGAAATACTGGGAAATTTTTCTATAACTCTCTTCTGTTTATGATTTGATAATACGCACACTCCCTAAATGGATATTTGTGGTATTGGAGAATGTTCCAGTAGCAGAAGTAATAAGTGAATGGGTTATCTGGCACGTTGTAATACTTAGGCTAATTTCCTTTGTCATATCTGTGATTTGATTCTGTTTTATGTCCCCCAGAGTTAGGATTAAGCTGTTGAAAAACTAAATTGAATCACTAGAAATCTATTTTTGCACCCAGAAATGAGCTGTGTTGCAGGGATTTTTTTGTTCGTTCTGAAAAGCAAGGAGGTTGTTTAGTGTAGGTGCATGTTTATGATTTGTGCAAAAGAGATTTTCACATAACTGACCCAGGGTCAGAAATTAATGTATTCCTTTGATCTGAATAGACTTTATCTTTTGGATCTAAGTGTACTGTTATCCTATCAATGTCATCAATTATCCACTTCTTCTTTCTGCCCTTTTCTATACCTTGTGAAGCCTTAGCGATACTGGAGTAAGGAGGAGGTTCCCCAGGTTGCTCAAGTCATTCTTTTCTCTTCATCAGTTAAGAAAGCCTGGAGAAATCCCAAAGGACTTCCACCGGAGAAAGAGCTACTAAGAGTTGTACAAAAGCTTAACTGTCCAAATGGTAGACAATTATAACTAGGTGGGAACTGAGAAGCAAGTGGAAGGAAACAATGAGTCCATCCTAGATGGCATGATGTGGTGTTAGGGTTAGGCATAAGAGCCTCTTCCATTATCCAATGTTATTACAGACATTTCAGAAAAAGCTTCTAATAAGGGTTTTGAAAGAGTGTAAAGACAGCTTTCTCACCCTTTACAGACAACTCTCTCAAATGAGGGAGGCAAAACAGAAGAAAACATTTAAAAACTTTCAGCAATGTAAGAGATGACCAGTGGAAGCAGCCACGTGTTTTCAGAAACGTCAGCCTTTGACACTGAATGAACGGTAGTAATATGGGGTGGGTTTGGAAGGTGAAGCTAATTTACATTTGATACAATAAAGAAGAGAGAGATGAATGCAGAGAGAAGAGAGTCATTGTCAAAACTGTAGAAAATTCGGGGGGCGCTTACTCATAGCAGGTTACAGGGAGTGATTAATACCAAGATGGGAGAAGAACAGAAGGTCCAGTTTCTACACTGACTCTGGGCTTCACAATATTGTATTTTTCTGTCCTGGTTCTTGCCTTGAAATATTTGTACAATCCCACTCTTTTTATTTGATCATATTTTACCTGCAGTAAGGTTAAACGATAGCATGTGGTATTTGATTAAGACCTGGGCCCTTACTTGTCTCTGTGGATGATGAAGAGGGAAAAAAGTTTAAAAGATTTGCACAGTAGCAGTACTGAGTTCGATTTTTGGGACCTGGTGGTACATGTCATTGGTCTGTTTCTTCTAACTGCTTGGTGGGAACGTACTGAACAGGAGCAGAGTTCCTTGATTTTATTGTAGATGGACCAATAAGAAACTTGAGAAAAGTTAATTTGTTAAAGCTGTTGTAGGAATTTTACCATGACTGATTACATATGTCATTGTAGTTCTACGTGATGGTTTTGGTTAGTGCGTGTGTGCTACCCACTTCTCCCCTTCCCCAGCGTTGCTCTGATGACAGTGCTGTAGCACTGATTCTCTTCTTACTTTGGTACTGATGCAGGCTGGGAGTGACTTCAGTTGAAGTCTGTGGCATCTAACTGTGGAGAAACTACTGATGCAAGGTTCTGAAATCTTTTTTTTAAAAAAAAAAAAAAAAGATGAGGAGAAAATTCTTTTGCAATCTGTAAAAGCACAGCAGTGTCAGATAGTGTCACTGAAAAATAGGAAAGATAGGATGAAGGTAGTAGGAAGCAGACAGTGGATTTGAACTGGTACAATGATATTTGATGTCTGGGAACTTCTTACAAGAACCTTGAAACTTTGTCCTATAACCTTCTTTCCATAAGATTGGTTTGTGTGCAGCCAAGGTATGTCCTGTAGGTTCTGTTCCTCATGATGTCTCCCAAAATATGTGCTCCTATCCCCTCTGTTTCCCCAGGAAATGTCCCAAGAGCCTGCTTTACTTTTAAACTGCCTGTTTCCATGGTCAAGAGGTGACACACACTGTGAGGCTCATTACATGGTGATCAGCCTGTGATTTCCATGAGCCTTTGGACCTCTGTAAAGGGTGACTTTAATGGCTGTTGAGTTTCTGTGTTGACTGTTGAGAGAAGTCAGTTGAGGAGATAGTACACACACCTCATTTCATTAGGAAGCTAGACTAAAAGTCATGACCTAAGCAGATTTGAAAGAACACAGAGACCGTATCTGTAGCTAACATGGTTAAGTCATTTTTTGTTCATCTGCAATGAACGGACTTGTTCCATGAAAGGCTTGGAACTGGGGCTGATCTCTTCCATCTGCCTGGTATCAAACTTGGTCTGTGCTTATCACTAACAAGCTTGTTGGTGTGTTTGTATATCTCCTGGTCAGGAAAACAGGAAAAAAAAAAAAAAAAAAAAAAAAAAAAAAAAACACAAAAACTAGCCATGGCTGGTTTTTGTTGTAGGATGTATTTTTTGTGAAATTGTCTGGAATCCTGAAACATTTTTCAAAACTTCAGTATTTCTTTTTACCATCTTGAATATAATCTGGGGATACACAGAAATAATAGGGCATGTTGCTGTTAAAGTGGGGGAAAAATCTTGAAGAGCAATGTTTATTAGGCGGAGAAATAGTCTCCCAAGGGAGCTGCTGGAAGTTATCACTTAAATAGTATTAAAACAAGATTGGACAAGGCACTGGAAAATCTACGTTAGGGAACAGTCCTGCAATGGCAAAGGGAGGGACTATATGACCTAATAGGATTTTTTCCATCTCTGATTTCTGTGATAATGTCAGGAGGACAGCTGCTTCCACAGTTACTCTGTGCCCAGATTTTATGGTAGTGTCTCCTTTTCCAACACTTGTTTGTGTTAAGTATTTATTCAGCAGAGCAGGAAGGGAGAGTCAACTAGTGTGAGTTACTGATAACTTACAAAAATATGGCTGTTCTTGTAGCTAGCCAGCCAAATACAATGATGATTTAGTTACCTAAATTATTCCTTCAGACCATTTTGTGAGGGCCAGATTCATTCCATATAGTATATGGGCTTAAACACAGGATAGCTCTGTTTACAATTCCTTTCTGGTTTCTCCTCCAGTCCACTTTGGGTTGCCCCCAGTCTCCCAGGGAGCTTGTACTCGAAAAACTACAAAAGGGGCTGAGCAGCTAATTTATGGAGACTATGAATTCTTCTAGTGCTTTCAAAGGCAACAGTTTTGCTGGTTTTTTTTATAAAAAAAACTCTGCCCACCAGTGCTTTTATGGGCAAGGTTTGCTTTGCTCGTGAGGCATACAGAGCACTGCTCAATGCAACATCAGTCCTCTCCTAGAAGATTGTGTTTCATCCCTGACCAGATATATTGATAAACCTGTTGCCTTAAATGGGGAGCAAGAGGTGCCTGGAGATAACTTTATGACTTGACTTAAAATGTAGTGCAACTGTAAACGGATAGGGAGAAATAAGGGTTTATTTTAATGCTTATGCTATAGCTCTCTTCCCAATCCATCAGTAGCTAAAAACATGCAATGACACAGAAAACAAACACGTTTTAAAATAACATGCTGTTGTTTTTTTTAACCAGCCGTTTCCCTTTTGTCATGTTGCAATCTACTTCTCTGCATTTGGCACTAAAAATATTTTTGTCTCTTTTTCTATCAGTAACAGTTATTTATTAATTAAAATCTCAACTTGTGCTAATGAGCGTACCATAAAAATAGACAAAATAAGTGTAATTATATTTTTTCTAAAAATATACTATATTTTGCATGATAACTCAGGGCCTAATACAAACCACTTTCAATCAAGAGAACACTTTCTATTTGTTTTGTGATTTTTTAATCGGTCTTCTAGCTGTGTTTTGCTGGGAGGAAGTGGAATTGTGTCCCACTTCCTGGTCCTTCCTACATGACAGGCCATGCAGAGACTTGGAATGCTGTTGAGGTGTCTGGAGGAGCTCCTAGTCCCCTCCTGGGGAACATGTTTGGCTTTCCTGAACATCTGGTAATTAGAAACTTTAAAAAAGATGCTGAAATTGAGATAATGTGGTCTGTATATAGTTACTAATCCTTGGAATACAGATTGATTTTTAGTGCTTTTTTTTTTTTTATCTTCTCCCCTTTAATTGGGAGAATTTATAGGAACAGTCTTAGTTCCTTTCAAATCCAGGCTTTTCTGGTGATGCTGGTGGACCTTCTTTACCATCTATTCTTAGCTGGAACCACCTTCTCTCAGCAAGGATGAACATTTTACTCCCGATGATGTCTCACCACTGCCTTGTGCAGTGGTAGTAACCCACTCCATTGTTTCTAGTTTCCCTGCTGTATCTTACACAAGTGTGGGGTTTTTTTTTGCTGTGACTTTGTTAACATTGACAGCCCATATTGAGGTATGACCTGGGGGTTTCTTTTCATCTGCTGTTTTAGGTAATGATTTCCTGCATTCTTAAGGGAACCATTCGTATCCAAAGATAACCTCCTAGGGATGTTTTGATGGCAAATGCAATACAGGCTATGAGAGGGTCAGTTGTGATTGCCTGGGTGAAGACCAGTGAAGGCCAGGCTGAGCTGCCCTGTATCCAGGCCTCCATGACCAACTCTACTGGTGGCTGAGGAACAAGCTGGATCTCCACCTCAACTAGCTGGTGTTCTGAATTTCATGTGAAAAAGCTGACAGTGTAGCACGTTGGAAGTTATGCTTTTGGAAAGGTCTCTTGGAGCTAATTAACATGCAACTCAGCTGCTTCTGTAAGCGCTGAGGGGTATTTTCAGCAGTTGACTAGACTTCTGTCTACAACTGTCGTGTGATTTACAGCTACATGG